AATTTATCAAGATTTTTTTCATGGCGAAAAATTGCTTTGGGTAAGAGCTAAATAACTGAAATCATGGAATAGAATTGAACCTGGAACGGCACTACTTCTGCTCTAGTTGCCGTTGCATACTATTCTAACATAATGGTTTTGCAAGCTTGAATATAGTTTTATTAGTCATCCGTGAACTGTATAGTGTGCATTGTGTTAATGTAACATTTCTTGCCGTATTTTTTGGTTTTTTGAATTGGTTTTAAATTTTACTTTGGCAAATTTTCTTACTGGACTTCATCATCATCGTTATTCCGGTCGTTTTATGGCCGGTTTTTTGTCGATTCTGATGAGAAAAGTAATTTTTTATACTTGAATTTGTTGGATGCATACTACTGGGGAAAATTTGATTTTCTTTGTTTCTATTTCCACAATTTGGAGTTCTTTTGAATTAATTTATGCTACATGTAGTTTGGAGGGTACGCATATTTTGCGTTTTAGAATTGAATTTGTCCATCGCTTTTGTTATTCAAGCAACATCAGTAAGCACCTTAAATTGGAAACAAAGCTGGCCTATTGAAGTAACGGATACCTATCAAAATATTTGGCATACAGAAGTTATACTGGAAGAGGGCATTTTGAATTTTCTGTCTGTTGGAAGCTTTTTTCATATTTTTGATTTTATTCTTTTCAGAAATTCTTATGTCGTGTTTTCAGTACAATATTTTGGGCGATAGAATGGTGTATCTTTTAGTGGACTGTTTTATTGCTTTCTAAGATTTTGCGTTTGTGGTTTGGCTAGACAATGAATATTGCTGCTTATATTTTTTTCAACATGTTTTTTATTTGTGCATTATTCCTTTTAGCTGATGGGTAACAGAGTAGACAGTGCTATGAATAAAGAACTGTTTTTGTATAACAGAAGAAAAAGAAGGGCGAGAGGATAAATTTAAGAATAATTCAATAATTGTATCTGGTGCAGTTTGTTTGCGAAAACGTCGATGAGGTATCATGAACCAGCAGCAGTTTCAACCAAAATTTTAATTCTTCTTTTTTTTTGACATAAAGGAAGAGAATAAAACAAAAAAAAGAGGAATTCAAAAATTTCTCTGCAACACGGCATAAAAAATTGAAATTTATTTGTGATCTACTTGGAAATAGATATAATTATGAGGGATTGGTGGAAATTTTTTGACAAGAAAATTTATTGCGTGGAGTATTCATTAACAAGATTGTTTGGCATTTCAATCTGGCAGCCATAAAATTTACTCAAAACTACATTGTTTTAGAGGAACATTCAGTACTGTTTTTCTGGTTGTTAGTAGATGGATAAAACAGTAATTCTGACACAAGGAAGAGGCGTTGATTTTCAGGGAAAAGTCTTATGGGACACTTAGTTTGGTTAAGTTTAACATTTGTTGCACTTTATTGTTGCTCTTTATATCTTTGAATGAAGTTTCAAAGATATTGCGGAGTGATTTTTTCTGACTGTTGTAGGTTATTGGAGGAGTTTATAATGGTAAAAAAGACATGCTTGTCAAAACAATTTCATCACTTGACAAATTTTACAGAATTATGACAACGGAGTATGACATTTTTTACAGAAGGCGGTAGAAGGAAATGAATGAGCAACCTCTGTTTTAATATAAATCTGACCTGTTTATGAATGCTTCTTGATTCATCTATTTTTTTTTCTCTTCTCTTATTTATCGTCTTCTCTCCTCTTTATCATTTGTAGTTTCTTTCAATAAGAGGACGTTTTAAAGGGTTTCTAAACGGCTACAGTAATATGGCATTTCTTCCTTTTTCATTATTTTTTTACTTGGGCTACACATTTTCCTTCATCGTGTCTTCTTCGTAGCACAGATTTTTGACAATTTTTGATCTGTAGATAAATTTATGACATTTCTTTGCTGATACAGATCAGATTTGTATTCTTAAATGTTCGCAGAGCTGTGGCTGTTGTTGTTCTCGAGGAAGTTTTATGCATCTTCCGGCAGCAGAACGGATGTTACTGGTAGTTGTCGGTTTGAAGAGTGAGTTTGATTTGGTGCGCTGCAGGTTAAAAGGCGCAAGAAACCGGATGTACTTTGAATGGTGACCCATAGTCTTGAAACTGTTTGAGCTCTACTGTCGTTTAGAAGCATTTGTTTAACCACTGTCAAGCCTCTTAGTTTTGAATCTTTCTTTTTTGCTTTTTCTGATGGAATTATGAATTGTTAGTTTTTAGAAAGACTAATGTAATTTTTGGCAGGCAGAAGTGATTTGGTAAGGATTTCTAGTTATTTGACACTGATAGCAGTGATATGGGTAACTGAAGTGAAAGCGCGGAACGCTAATTGTTTACTGATAAATTAAAAGGCTTCTCTTATATATCTGTAGGGAAAAAAGCTGAAATCATTTTTTTTCTATTTTTGTTTAAATTTTCTTTGAACTTGTGTTTATTTCTCTTCTGTTTTTGCTTAAATGTACTTTTCCATTAAAATTCTCCTCATTTATTTATTCTTTCTTACGTTTCAGTTCTTACTTCTTAGTAGTTTTTGCGTGTGTTATATTTACTCAATGATATTTAATCTGAATTTCAAAAAATTTTTTGTGGTTTTTTCACTATGGTATAAGTGTAGAAGTTTTTATACTGGGAGAGATTTACTGCCTCAAAAAGTAGTGTAATAATGAAATGATTTGTATGAGAAGAAGAAGAAGAGGGAACGAAAGGAAAAAACGAAAAGGATGAAAATGATCAGTAATGAAGAAGAGGATTAGAAAAGGTTTGAAAATTTGAGCTGTTGTTTACGAAGGATATACGGGTGTACAGATATTGAATGTTCTTTCTGTTCTTTTTTCTTTTGGCTTTAAGCGTGGCTATACTGGATGTTGCAGTATAAATTGAGGAAAATTTAGTGCCTGTTGACTAAGGGTAGATTGATGACAACGTAGTTTTCTAGCTGTAGCCTTAGAAATATCATTTTTGATGATCGCAGTGATTGTGTTTCAGTCAGGTGCAAAAATTCAATTTTTTTTTTTCTGCGCTACTTGTAACTTTTGATGAAGAAAGAAGTTCTTTTATTAATTAAAACGTTTTTTTTGGTTCTTCTGTGTTTTTTTTTTCTTTGTTACTTTTTGGCAGGCTTTTTTTTTCGTTATTGTCTGACTAGCAGAGGTGTTTGGTGAAAAAGCAAGTTTGTCGACTAAGACTGAATGCCGTCAGGCAAGCGTTGCGGAGAAGTTAATTTTTTTGGTACTGCCTTAAAAATGCGAATAGATTTTTAGTGTTCAAGGTAGTTCAATTATTTCTTATGTTTTTTTTTTTTTGTTTTTTTCTTTTTCTTTCTTTTTCTTGATTTCTGTTTTGGAGGTCATGAAATAACTTTCGTTGAAGTTAATTGTCAAATAACATCATATTTGATGCCGATACATTGAAACATTTAGTGCGTTTTGTTGTTGTTGTTGTTGTTGTTGTTGTTAAATAAATTCTAAATCATTTGCAACTTTGCTAGAATTGAGTTCTTCCCTTGCTGTGAATACTTTTTTTTCGGTTGCTTTTTTTTTCATTTTTTCTGATGGAAAAACGAAACAAAGAATTGTTTTTCAGCCTGTGAAGCTTTTTTCAAAATGATTTGTTGTAAGCATTGGATAAGTTGTTTTTGTTATCGTTGCTCATAAGTGGATTTTGATATCGTCAAAAAGTATTAGAAAATTTTTGTTAAAGAACTCTAAAATTTTAGATGAGGGCATAGGAAAATCTTTGTGATCACTTTGGAAAAATTGACTTTATATGTTTATTTTTGTTTTTGGGTTAAAGGAAGGCTTTGTAGCAATTGTTTTTTTTTTCCTGTAAAGCTTTTTCATGATATCTGTTGATTGAGAGGTTAATTTTTGTCTTCATATGTCTTTCTTGTTACACAACATATTAAACATATCGGCTTTGAGCAAAATGTCGAATTTTAGAGTTTTGTTTGTTCATTTTTATTTATTTTTCATTGAATACACATACTGTGGCATTTGTCGATGAAATGCGGTTGTTATAGAAAGAAGGTTTCAGACTTCATTACTTAGATGCTGTAGTTTAAAGACGGGAAATTGATTTGTTCATTATGCTTTTTGAAGGGTCATCTAACAGCTACAGTTCTTTAATTGTAATCATTGTTTATTGGTGATAAAATGAATGAGTCAGACTCTTTATCTTTCATCTTCAGCGTTCTGACGGCCTTACTGTTTCCGGTAGTCGCAAAAATTTGACTGCAGTTAACAACAGTAAGATAATATTTAACATTATTAGTTACCTTTAAATGAGTAATTTTGTGTTTCAGAATTATGGTGTTTTTCTTGTTTTTTGTTTTAAAGTTTTTTTAAAATTGTTTTTTTGAAACTATAGTGCTTTGGTTCAAGAGGAAAGATTTACTGGATGGATCGGAGATGACACTTCAAGAAAGCTCCTAATAAGATTACAATATTTTTTTTTTGTTGCAGCACACGGGAAACTCTATTTAACTTTTTTGCATTTCACATTTTTGCAGGAAAGCCTTTATCAACAACATAATTTTTTAGTCGTTTGTTATTATTATAAAAACTATTTTTACTATTATTTTTATTGTTATCGCTATTGTTATCATTACCATCGTTACTGCTGCTAAAATTACTATTCCTATAATTACAATGCTATTATCATCGTAATTTTTTTTTTTTTTGTATTTTTTAGAAGTGTCTAAAAGTTTATATATCACTTTAGTAAAGTTTTTAATCAGATTAATTTTTTTTAGGGTTTTGCTAAGGACGCTTGATCGTTATACCCTTGAACGCTAACCCCTACAAATAAAGACACTAACCGTAAAGGTATTAATGAAGTCTCTTAACTTTTTGGAATATCGCATTTTTGCAGAAAGGTTTGAAGTCTAACTTTTTCAACATATCTGCGTCAGAAATGCGTCGAACAGAAAAAATCTAATTTTTTTAAATTAGGAACTAAAATTGTTGGTCGCAATGTGTTGTAGGTTGCTTTTCGGAAGTAAAGTTTATTGTCAATGGAGAAGAACGAAATTAGTCGGCCGTTCCGACAGAATGAACAGCCGCGGTTAAAAAAGCGGTATAATATGATTTTTTTACTTTTTTTTTTCTACGACTGTAAAAAAAACAAGTACACTAACAGTTAATTTGATAATCTGAAATTTTGCAGTGAGCGACCATCAAATACAGGTTCTTCATTACTGACTGATGTTGAAAACGCAACCTTTTTTGGACTGCTTGGTAATGGCCGTTATTCGTTAGCCGCAGGAATTATTGAGTTGCTGAGGTCGGATCCACGTCGACCAAACCAATGGATGCATCAGTCGGCTGGCATTATTGCATTAGTAAAAGACTATGAGAAGCGTGCTTATTTTTTACGACTTTATGACCCATATCAACGGCAGTGCAAATGGCAGCAAATGTTGTAAGGAAGTTGTTGTTTTAAATAAAAGTGCTGGGCATCAGGTGGCTTTTTAAGGTGACATAGTTTAGCTTATAGGTAATTAAGTTATTTTGGGTTCTCTAAAACGCTACCTTGGCCTGTAGACATGAAACCAAGAAGTCGTCTGCGGATTGGATATGCTAAACCAGAAATGTTTTCAATACTTATTTTTCTTGAGTAACTGGGTTACTTTGACATTCAAACCATAAAATTGATGTTTAAAACTAATCATAAGTATTATTATTATTATTATTATTATTATTATTATTATTATTCTGTTTTCGAGTGAAAGATTTTTTTATACAATTTGAGAGCATTACAAAGTCTCATTTTATATTTAGCTCTAGGCTTCCAGCTAATGTTCATGCGCAGATTTTTAGTGTAAAGTAATGATTTTTACTGCTGAAGTAACTCACTGATGTTATTAATTTTTAGAAATCCATTCGCTTCACCTATAATGGTTTCCTTTGTCTTTAAAACGTTAGGAGCCATGAAGATTTTAAATGTTGTGGATTCTTTCTTTTTTTCATTATAGATTAGCCACCGGATGTACCCGAATATTTTAAAACTCACTGTAGTCAAGGGGAAGTTGAGGAATAAGAAAATGTGTTTTTGGATTGAGAAGTTCTCGATTTAAGCGGCACTTAAACTTCTTTTCTGGTATAATTTAAAATTGAGGAAATGTTATGTATTCGATGCTAGGAATCTCTTCAAGAGAGTTCAAAGATTTGACTTTGAGTAGTGGATTATAAGAAATGAAAAATATTTTCTAAGGTCACCTTTTGTGAATAGGATATTTTCATGATTTTTGATCTCTATGTTTTTTTCATTTATAGCTTCTCTAGTACGGATGCACAAGAGCTAAAAAGCTTGTCCACATATTGTTTTTGCTGAAATGTTTCTTTACTACCTTTGAAGAAAGATCATTTTGCATGAAGTTTGGTCAAGGAATAAGTCATTTTTTTCTTGGTTTTAGAAAAGCATGCGTTTTTACCGTATTTTTCTTCAGTACTGTAATCAGTGAAAAAAAATTAATTAAATTTGGTTTTGTACTTCTAGTTGTCTTGAAGACTGATTACAGTTTTATTTCTGCTTTTTTAAACACTTACTTCTGCAACAATATTGGCCGATTTTTACCTTTAATTCCAGTTAAAATTGATGAAGAACTTTTAAAGTCCGGATTCTTTCTCACATTGAAAGGAATTTTTTAGAAAAGTGGCTAGAATGTCTCCTTGAAATGTAAAAGGTGACAAATATTGGACGTTCCTACGTTTAAATAATTTAAAATATATATATATATATA